TATTTAATAAAAATTTTTAAGAGTTTATTAGTGATAAGTTTAATAAATACTTTTCTTAAATTTTCTAATAATAGGATTAAAAAGTTCTTAATTAACTAATACAAACCTTTAACTTAAGCTCAATAAAATATTTTTAGACTATAATCTAGAATATGTTAGAATACAGGATTAGTTGTAAGATACAATTCAAAAAATTTGAGTTGATGGATCTTATATATGCAAAAGTTAGTTAATATTATGCTTAATATAAATAATATAATAAAGCTAATAGTAACTATATGAAATGTTAAATAATAACTTACTAAAGTTTAATATAAAAAATTATATAAATAATTTAATAAAATATTGATTAAAAGAAAAGTATTACATAATTAACATTAAATAAATATTTTTTAAATCATTATGCTATAATTTTTATATATTAAATAGATTTATTATAAAAAGTCTAAAAAATAAATTTCATAATATTATATCTTCTAAATCACAAGATATTTCAATATTAAATTTTTAATTAAATAATGTAATATTTTTGATTATCAAATTATTGTGTTAATTAAATAATTTATCATTTCATTAAAACAATTTTTATTATTATTATTGAATGTATTATCTTAAAGTAATAATTTTTTAATTATTAAATTAGAACAGTAATGTATTATTTATAAGAAATGATTTTTTAAATTGTTCTTATTATAATAGTATATTATAATTTTTAAATTATTTAATAATCTATTATTTAAATATAACAATAATATATCATTTTAAAGAAACTATTTTTTATTTATTCAATTTAAACAATTATTTATGATTCCTTTAGAATGATTTTTTAAGTTATTATTATTGAATAAAAATATATTATTCTAAAAAGATAATTTTTTAAATCAGTTAATAAAAAAATAATATATTATCTATTTATGATGATTTTTAAATTATTCTTATTGAATAATGATGTATTTTTACTAAAGAATAATTTTAAATTATTTAATATAATAGTTAAAATCATTTCTTTCAACACTAATACCATTCAGTTAACATTCAGCCAATTTGATCATGTGATTTAGCAAAAAGTAAGCTTAAATTACAAAAATCAATAGTCATTTGTTTTACTACACATAATTTAGCATTATTTTATCATTAGATCTTTCATCAAATATTCAGCCGATTCAGTTATATGATTCAGAAAAAAATTCAGCTTAAGTTGCAAAAATCGATAGTAATTTGTTACATCACACATAATTTAGCATTATTTTAGCATTAAGTTAGACTCAAGATTTGACAACAAATCGACTGTATCTTACTCAGTGTTGTCATGGGACATTTTTAGGACATGGCCTAGAACACTGAGACTTAATGTGGGACATTTTGGGACATAGTGTGGGACAGTCTCAAAATGTTTGGGACATCAAAAATATACATTACTGATCTTACTGGTCAAAATCAGTTGAGCCAATTTTGCGAAATTATAAAAATATTCTGAGAGTAATTGTCTTTAAAGAGATGATAGAAATTGTTCCTATAGGAACAAACAATTGTCCCCAAAGAGACGTTAGAAATAATCTCTAAAGAAATGAACAATTATCTCAAAAGGAACGATTGTTCGTCTCAAAAAAGATTATAAAAATTGTTTTAAAAGAAATGATATAATCATTTCTAAAGGAACGAACAATCATCCCTAAAGAGACGATAGAAATTATCCCTAAAGGAATGAACAATCATTCTCAAAGAAATTTTCTCTAAATAAATGAACAATTGTTTTTAAAGAGATGATAGAAATCATTCGAACAATTATTCCCAAAGCGACGATAAAAATCATCTCTAAAGGAACTATTCAAATATTATTTCAAAAGAATAATGTTTTATTATCATTTTTAAGGAATGATGAATTTTTTTATCATTCTAAAAGAATGATATTTTTTCATTATTCTTAAAGAATGATGCATTATCGTTATTATCATTCCTAAAAAATGATGATTTTTTTATTGATCTTTTAGAACGATTGAATAATTGTTTTTTTAGAACAATTTTCTATATCATTCTTAAGAAACAATTAAACTATCATTCCTTTTGAATGATTTTCTATATTATTCTTAAAAACGATTGAATTATTATTCCTTTAGAATGATTTTATCATTATTCGTAAGAAACGATCAAACTATTATTTATTTTGTATCATCTGATTGCTGTTTAGAACATTTATGATAAATAGTATAAATAATATATAAATTTTAGATTAATTGAAATTTTAGTTTAGTTTACAATATAAAACTGATAAACTTTCGGAATATTCCAAAAAAATTTATTTTTTTCTTTTTTTCCTAATAAGGTAATTTTAAGGCAGAAATTTAACCTTTTCCTTTTTTTTTCTTGTTTTTTTAGGAAATTCTTATTTTGAAAATTAAGATAAGCAAATTAGAAGTAACATTTGCATAGTTTTTTAACCTCTTTTCTTTGTTTTTCTTTGATTTTTTAGGAAAATTCTCTTTTCAAAGCTAAGATAAGCCTTTCAGAGGATATTTTTAGATAGTTTTTAACCTTTTTTCTTTATTTTTTCTTTACTTTCTTTAGGAATATATTAAGGCAAGCCTTTTAAAGGTAGTTTTAGTGGGTTTTCTAACTGTTTTCTTTATTTTTTCTTTACTTTTTTTAGGAATACATCAAGGTAAACCTTTTGAAAGTGATTTTTAGTGGATTTGCTAACTGTTTTCTTTATTTTTTCTTTACATTTCTTTAGAAATATATTAAGGTAAGCCTTTTGAATATAATTTTTTGGTGTTTTTTTAACTGTTTTCTTTATTTTTCTTTACATTTCTTTAGAAATACATTAAGGTAAGCCTTTCAGAGGTGTTATTTTATTGGTTTTCTAACTGTCTTCTTTATTTTTTTCTTTACTTTTTTTTAGAAATACATTAAGGTTAGCCTTTCAAAGATAATTTTTAGTGGGTTTTCTAACTGTTTTCTTTATTTTTTCTTATCTTTAAAAAATCAAATGTATCTTTTTGAATAAAATATAATACAATATATATTCTTTTTGTATAATTTATTATGTAATAATAAAATAAAATTATAAATCATAAATAAACAAAAACGAGTTTTATTAGTTTCAATATTTTAATTGATTTTTGCTGATTATTGATCAAGTTTAAGCTGATTTATGCTGAATTTGACCAATTTTTACATAAATGCTGATTGATAGCCAATTTTCTATTAATTCAAAGTGCTGAATTTTTTGGTAATGATCAGCAGAATTAGAATATATTTTGGCCAACTTTCAGCATTTTAAATATGACAAATTGTATTATTATGTTTAGTGATATATCAAATAACTACCAATCGTTAATGTCAAATGTTTATTTGCAAAACACATGAATTGGCAACTTCAGCTATAATTAAAAATGCCAATTGTTTTGGCAATGATTGGCAGAAATTAGATTATATTTTAAATAATATTCAGCACTTTAAAAAAGTGACAAAATAGATTATTTCGATTAGTGATAAAAATGATAATGTTTATTCTAAAGAATATTTTTTTAAATTATTCTTATTAAATAATAATCTATTATCTTAAAAGAACAATGCTTTGATTATTTCAATCAGATGTTTTACATAATCTTATTAATCTAATTTGAATAATTTGTATTGTTCTTATTAAATGATGATATATCATTCTTTTAGAATAATTATTTAATTATTTCAAATGGAATGATTATTTTATCATTCCTAATAGAACGATTATACTTATCATTTCAAGTAAAACAATTATTTTTATTATTACAATCAAATGAAATCATGAAAACCGATGGTGTAACATTATGGTGTGTTTTACATCTGGTAAAGTTGGTAACATGCCGAATTTATGGACATATGAATAATGACTGTGCTGTCAAATTTTAAGGAAGACTTTTTAGAAACTATAGAGTGGCAGGAATAGTCTCCTGAAAAAATCCAATTGAATACGTTGGAAAGAAATGGATGTTGAAACGCCTGTTAGTATACAGGACTAACTATGGGATGCAATTCAAAAGATTTGGTCCGATGTATGCAAAAACTTTGTTAATACAATGCCAACTCATATAAATGATGTAATTAGAGATAATTGGCGGCTTATACCTAATGGTAAACCAATTATTTACTATAGATTTTTTAAAAGAAAAGCATCGCAAAAGTGGCAGAATATACTGTACATGAATATTTTTTAAACTCATCACTACGCAGAGATTTTGTACCACTAAATTGATTCGATTATGATGAGTTTAAAAACAATGTTTTGTATCAATACGCCTTCTGAATCACAATTTTAAGATTTTTGTTTTGGTGATGCAATACTTTTTACCGTCAAATAGATAATAAGTATGAAGTGTGAAGTCAAGAACTATAAAATCTTCTCCTTTGGGAAAAAGGAAGTTCGTGTGCTGGAAGTGACATCATCTCTCAACTTCCCTTTTCCTCTCTGTGTCATATCATCCCCGCTGCTTCCCTGCTGCAAATTATTATCTTTTTGGCGAAGCTTGCCTTGTTGTTCTTTTTATATGATCTATCAAGATCGCTGATTCCAACTCAATGTTAAGATTATTGTAGCAAGCGCTTACATTAATTTGACTCACCATTAAACATCCAACTTTGTTCTTAAAGATTGGTTTTTTTTTATAAACAATGCTCATAATGACGAACAAATGAGAAATTATTGGCGCAGCAAGAACGATTAGTAAAAATTAGTAAACAATCAAGAGATTGTGGATTTGATCACGTAATATGAAACAAATAATTGGCTTTGCTGATCAAATAAAATGCAAAGGCACGAGTTTATTATTATCACCACGCGTCACAGTTCGGATAAATAATTGACGATTTATTGATTTATTCCCTTTTAAGCCCGCTTATAGCAATACATATCTTGAATCAAAAATTATATCATAATTCTTCTGGACATATAAATAATGAACAATTTGTTACTCGTCTTATTTTATTCATAAATCCATTTTTTTTTTGCTGAATTAATCCTTATGGAAGCGGTAGAAAAGTTAATAAAAGAACTTCAAATATTTTTAAGTGATAAAGTTGTTGAAGATTTCCGAAAGTTTTTTAAAGACTTCGATGAAGTACAACCTGCGACCTTTGAAAGTTATCAGAATATCGTTGAATATGATTCTAATTTCTTTAAATTAGCAAATAATTTTATCAATGAAGGACTAATAAATTTTCAGGAGTCTGAAATTAATAATATTAATCAGCAATTTATTTATTCTTTATTATCTTTAAAAATGTTAGTTAATGAAATGGCTTATGTAAAAAGAATAGATATTATACGAGATGTGTTGAATTCATCTCATAAAACAGAAATGTTTTTTGGTAATAGCAAGTTGACGAAAGAAGAAATCAATAAACGTTGCAGAAAACTCGCTTTATATTTCCATCCTGATAAGACGTGTAAGTCTAATAGCCCGACTTTCCTTAAAGACGAGCATAAGTATTTAGGTGATAAACTATTCGGATTTGTTCAAAATTTTAAAGAGAGCTTATCAAATAATGACTCAGAAAACGAAGATTTGGCTTATCATGAAAAATATGCAAATCAGCTTTGGAAAATTACGATTGATTACCGTAATGCAGCTAAAGGGCAGCGCGATAACCTAAATCTGTTAAAAAAAGATGATATCAAGGAGTTATCTTCTGAGGAATTAGAGCGTCAAAGCGTGAATCACGGAATGATTGCATATAAGGAATACCGAGAAGCTTGCAAAATTGTTGATAAAGCTAAACTACTAAAAGACCAAGTAAGATTACGAGGAAATATGACATTATGCTTATATGTATCCAACAAACTTTTAGAAGCCCAGTTATATGCTTTGTCGGCAATTAAATTACAATTTAAATATCCTGATGAGGTCACGCAAGATGATCTGACCAAGGCAAAAAAAATATTTGATAAAGTTAGAGGTAAGAATGCTACAGAAGATACTCATAAGTCAGCTACTTCTAATAACACGAAAGCTTTAGTAAATTAACGGGTCAAGGTTCCTTTTTCAAAAAAAAGTCTTATCAACGGTTGATATGCTTAAAATAAGTTCTGATTTATTGCTCAAAGCAGACCGCAGTTTAATCCGCTATCAAATACCTAAAGAAGAGATATTACAAGTCAAAAAGAATGCTATTAGGTTTAAAGCAGCTGGAATAGGAATTATGGTTACTGGAGCGACTTTAGGAACTGCAGTAGTTTTAAATGCTTGTTCAACGATTGTTTTAAGTTCAGCTGGTGACCCGATTGGACTTATGTTTGGAATTACTACCATTGGTTTAGGGATTTGGTTCGGTAACAATTAATGGAAGAAAGGCTGTAAACAGTTGAAAGTTCCAGAAATCCTTGAAAAGCTTAATTATATCATGAAGGAGGCACTGAAAGCTTATGATGAAGGAGATCATCAGAAATTTATCGATGTTCTTTCTCAGAAATATAAAAAATGATACCAGTTTATATTGAAATTAAAAGATCGTGCAGATGGTATTAATCCTAAAGAAATAGTGGAAACACTTTCACTTTTCGGATGGTATTGCCTATCTATTGATTTTGCTAGGAGAAGTCTTGAATATTGGGAAAATAAAAATTGATGGAAAAACAACAAATGAACTAAAGATGCTATCTAAGACAGTTTATGCTGGGGTGGATGATGAAAAACTTGATGAAACGGCTAAAATGCTTGATGTTCGCACTCGTGAAGTACGAGGAAAGAGCAGATTTAATTTTAAAAGTATATACAATGAATTAAAAGATTTTATTTTTCTTAAAACAGTGTATAGCAATATAGCAAAAGAACACATAGATGACAATCAAGATATGCCCTTTCAATCAAGGCTGGAAGAAATGCGTAATATTGCAAGAATTAACCTCGCAATTTTTGATTTAATAGATGGTGATAATGAAGAATTTGAACGAGCTATTAAAACTATTAAGGACATTCGTGATAAAAGCTATGATTATGGTTTGATTGAAGTTCGCTTAGAAATTTTGGAAGATATCTTGTGGGTCATTAGCGGTGAGGAAATATCTCATAAATCGGTTGAATTACCTAAAATCACTTTTCCGGAATCAATTTGATGACAAATCTTTACTGGCTTAACGAAAACCTATAGCACATATTTTATTAGAATTCTGAATTTTACTTACAGTGACATATATTACTTAATATTTTACTTTTATAAAGTTCCAACTTTCAAATATCTTTTTTTTTTCTAAACAAATTTAAAAATTTATAATTTTCAACGTTAAAAATGAATCAGAATAATCTTTTACCTTATCTGATTATAGTTTACGATAAATAAACAGTGAAAGAATAACTATCTTCTTATTAAAGAAATAGTACCATGCTCTGATGAGGTTTCAATAGTATAAATAGGCTTATTGATGACAATAAAGATTATGAAAATATATAAGTTGAATTTTTTTATATAAGAAACTCGCTTCTACTCACTTTGTAAAGAATATTTAATCTTGGAAGTAAATATTGTTATCAGTTGCTGTCTTTATATTTATTGTTTTGCTTGATGAGGCCACTTTGATAGAAGAACAACATAAGTAATATCAGTAATTGGTGGCTGCCTTATGAAAATGTCACGGTTTACGTGTGATTACTGATCTTGTTCTTTATTAAGAGAACCACCAGGACGTTTTAGTTCATTTGACATTGATTGAGGATGAAGAAATTTTACTTCTGATTACTCACAATAGATTTAATTTTTCATTTTTCAATAGTGCTATGGCCAAAACATGAACAAGCAAAAAAGGATCGCAAGTGTATATGAACGATAAATTTGCAGTAGAGTTGCCGTACGCCCTAACACCTCAATAAGTTTGGCTTTAGATTAGCAAGAAATTTTAACGATGGATGACAAATTTTGATGCGAAATTTTTTTAGCCCGTATCGACGAAATATGAGTTAACCGCTTAATTTATTAAACTATACAATTTATTTATATTTTTTTTTTGATTTTACAAAGGATATGGGTTTTATATATTGTTCTGTAGGAAAAACGAATCACTTGTTAAATAACATAGTTTGGATTTACTTAGTTGACCACCCCGACGTGAATTATATGATGTAATGAATTGACATAAATTTTAAGAAAGAGTCTGCATCTTAGAAACGACATCGAAAGGCATCGAAACTGCGGTTAAATCATACTGCGTCAAATGTTGTACATATTAATCATGGTAATAATGTTATGTCTACAAATTATTATTTATATGATGAAAATTTAATTACAAGAGTCCAGAGTCTGATCGTTGTAAGGTCTTGGTGATAGACTAACGGATTTCTAATATCTAATAAAATCTATATACACCAATTACACAAAGTATTATTAGCGATATATTCTCAGGATAAAGGAATTCATTGCATTGTTCGTTACCTTGGTTTCGGTACAATTCCAGGTGTAACACCGTTCATTCCAATTTCTCGGAAACTGCCATGCTTCACTATGAACCCCGGGGTGACTTTGCTAACATAACCATTAATAACTAATAAAAAGTATCGCGGATTTTTCATTTGCAAAATCAGTTTAATACATAGTAGCTAAAGTTATTTAATCGAGTAAATTACTTGGTGTGGGTGTATGCTTTGGAAAACATGTATGCTGATTTTTTTTTTTGACTTCAAATCCAGCAAAATTTTTGTTTGTTACGTGAATTCAGATAATTTATTAATAAATAACCCATTTGGCGCCGTTATTGTCACGGTATTGCCACGATAATTTTTGCTTTCCTATAACGTAAATTTTTGACAGAGTTTGGCAAATTTCTTTGCCCAAAGTGATCGGCACTCCAATATAAGATAACATGACATATATGATAGCGTCACATAGTTGATATAATCAATAGTATAATTGTTATTTCATCCTAAAAGATATGGTTAAAATTCACATCTGCATCCTTTATGCCAATTTTGAAAGGCAAAAATGAACACTTAAGAGACCATCAAACTCAAAACCTTTATCAACGTTTTAAACCTGTGCAGTTTAAAAACTATATAGCCGGGTAACCTGATGACGCAACGACCCAGGTCGTGTTTTTTTAAGTCGAGTCCTCGTCGCGAGCTCGCTAAACACACATAGTACATCATGTAAGCTAAATTGATTTTAAATGCTTTTATGATTTCAGTTTTTTATAATATATCTACATTAATTAAATAAATATATTTTAGTCTCAAATTTCGATCTTAATTTCGACCTTCAATAATATATACTATTTCGCCTATTTCTTCATATTGATAAAAGGATTGCACCGACATGGCTATAATTTTATCATAATTACGAAATTATAATTTAAGTGGCGCAACTAGTAAATAGAGATTTTACAAATTTTTGCTTATTTAATAAAATGCTTGACCCACAACTATTCAATGTTGGCAAATGACCTTGAAATGACCTCAAATGACCTCAAATGACTTCACTTTTATTATAAACATCAAGTCAAAATGACCAAGGTCATTTGAAAATAAATAGTAAATGACCTTGTAATTTGCCATCACTGCTTGATCAAATTATATTACTTAATTCTTTTAAAAGTTGGATTAATTACTAATAATTGCGTAATCTGTTAAGTGACGGCAATGTAACTATAAAAAAGGTGGGTTTTTTTTTGTAAAGAATATTGTTGATCCCTATGGAAGCTGCAGAAGAATCAATAAAAGAACTTCAACCCTTTTTAAATGATAATGTTGTTGAAAATATACGAAAGTCTCTTAAAGTTTTCAATGAAATAAAACCTGCGACTTTTGAAAGTTATCAGGAAATCGTTGAATATGAGACTAATTTCCGTAATATAGTAGGTAATTTAATAAATGAAGGGCTAGTTACTTTTCCGGACCCTGAGACTTCAAACGAAAGTTCGCAATATTTTTCTTCTTTGTATACTTTGAAATTAAAAGCTAATGAAATGGCTTGCTTAAAAAGAAGAGATATTATACAGAATATGAAATTTTCTAATAAAGAAGAAATGTTATATGGTAATATTATGTTTACAGAAGAAGAAATCAATAAACGTTACAAAAAAATCGCCTTACTTTTCCATCCCGATAAGACGAGTCGACCTTATACACCGTATTTCCTTCAAGGCGAATATAATAATTTAGGTAATAAACTATTTAAATTGGGTCTAAAACTTAAAGAGAAATTATTGGCCAAATTGGAAAATGCATTATTAGAAAACGAAGGTTGCACTTTTCATGAAAAATGTGCAAATAATCTTTGGAAAATTGCGATTGATTACCGTAATGCAGCGAAAGGACAATGGAATAATCTAAAACTATTAAATAAAGAAGATATCAAGGATTTAAGTTCTGAAGAACTAAAGCGTCATAGCGTGAATCATGGATTATTTGCCTATAATGAATATCGAGCAGCTTGTAAAATAGTTGATAAAGCTAAACAACTAAAAGACCAAATGAGATTACGAGGAAATATGGCATTATGCTTCTATGTATCCAATAAAGAGTTAGAAGCTCAGTTATATGCTTTGTCGGCAATTAAATTACATTTAAAGAATTCTAATCAGGTCACGCATGAACTGAACGAGGCAAAAAAAATATTTGATAAAGTTAGAGGTAAGAATGCAACGGAAGAAACACATAAGCCAGCCTCGGAGATTAATCTGAAAGATAACTTTGGTAACACGCAAGCTTTAGTGAAATTAGGTCGAGAGATTTCCTTTTTTGAAAAAAAGTCTTATCAGCGATCAATCGACGACGATATACTAAAAATAAGTACAGATTTAATGCTCAATGCAGACCGCAGTTTGGTTCGCTATCAAATAACTAATGAAGAGATCTTACAAGTCAAAAATAATGCAAATAATTATAAATTTGTTGGAGGAGGAATTATGAGTGTTGGAGCGACTGTAGGATTAACAACAGCTACATTGTCTGGCTTAAAAGTTAGTACAGCAGTTGCTTTAGGAATTAGTACAGTTGGTGGCCCAATTGGATTAGCAATTGGATTAATAACCATTGGTTTAGGGATATGGTTCGGTTGCAGTTTATGGAATGAAGGCCGTAAAAAGTTGGAAGTTCCAAAAATCCTTAAAAAGCTTAATGATATCATGAAGGAGGCACTGAAAGCTTATGATGAAGACGACCATCAGAAGTTTATCGACATACTTTCTAAGGAATATGACAAAGATACCAGACTTTTAAACTTAAAGGATAGTTTAGATGTTATTGATCCTAAAATTATAGTGGATAAACTTTTAAGATATGGATTTAGACCGGATGGTATTGCTTATTTATTAATTTTGCTAGGAGAGGTCTTGAATATTGGGAAAATAAAAATTAATGGAAAAACAACAAATGAGCTAAAGTCTCTAGCAAAGATAGTTTATAAAGGGGTTAATTATGAAAAACTTTATGAGAAGGCTCAAAAGCTAGATGAACGCATTCGTGGAATTAGAAAAAATAACAAGTTTATACAATTATACAATCAAATTATCGATTTCATCCTTCTTAAAACAGAGTATAGCAATATTGCTAAAGAACACATAGATGATAATCAAGAAATGCCCTTTCAAACAAGGCTTGAAGAAATGCAAAATATTGCAAATATTAACTTCGCAATTTTTGATATATTAGATGGTGGCGAGCAAGAACGTGATCGAGCTATCAAAACTATTAAGGAAATTCGAAATAAAAGCCATAGTTTTCGTTTTGCTGAGTTGCGCTTAGAAATTTTGGAAGATTTCTTGTGGGTCATTAGTGGTGAGGAAATATCTCATAAATCGGTTGAATTACCTAAAATCACTTTTCCTGCCGAATCAATTTGATAACAAATCTTTAGCTCATACAACTCATATGATTTAGATTTTATTTGACCTTATTTCTAAGTATATTTAGTTATATTTAAAGTTAGGCGTAGCAAGAAATTGTTTCTCGTTTGTCTATATGCTGGTTTTAATAAAATTTGGTAAAAGTTACTAAGCTTTAAGATAAATTTCCAACATTCAACACTTGAAACTTTTTATATATTTTTTTTATTTCGGATTTCGTAAAACTTTGATTTGGCAAGCATCACATATTTTCGTTAGACCGCGCCAATTATGATGTATAAGAACTATTATATAGATCACATGATGTTAAAATTGCATTTAATCATAAAAAAAAATGCCAAACTAGTAAACTGTCACTTCAATCACATTTTCATCGTTAAAATTCATAAAACCTATTATACGAAAAGGTTTACAGATGTCCTAAGCCGTCTTTGTCTGGTCATTTCCCATACGTCAAGATGTTTATTGAGCGTCTGAAGCTCACAATATAAGGACGCGTCCACCAACTGAATATTCATTTGAACAAACAATCTATCACTACGTTTTATGTCGTTGAAAAAATTCATTCCTTGACTACCATCTAATCCGTTAAATTTACACATAAGTTTGCCTTTTAAATGAATATTTCCAGAAAGGCTGATGTTGTGACCGGACCTTTCATAGATACAGTAAAGGAGAATAATTGCATTTAGTGGATTGCTATAATTGCTATAGTTGTTGCTAAATATTTATCCAAAGTCATTGGTAGTAACCAACTTTATAAGAATTTATGTTAATTGAATATCTACTTCGGTTATGAAAACTCGGATGTTGTAATACAATCTTTCCCGATTCGGACGTTACACAAAAGGTGACAAAAAACAATCTTATTTCCGAAAATGCATTGTTATTGATTGGAATTCATCTTTCTTACTTTCAATTCTGTTTCGAAAAATATAATGACATATAATTTATGGTCGGACCTCTCTAAAGATTTATCCTCTTTAATTGACAATGATGACGATTATAATGATTATAATGTCATCATTAAGGTCGGAGAGAAGGAATTTCGTGCGCATTCCAATATTTTGCGTTGTAGATCTAATTATTTTCGTCATGCGATATCAAAAAATTGGTGGTCCATGAATGAAAATAAAAAATTTGTTTTATCAAAGCCAAATATGAAACCTGAAGTTTTTGATGCTGTTCTAAAGTGAGTGTAGTGTATTCCATTTGTTCCTTTTTTTTTTAAAAAAAAAAAAAAAAAAAAAAATATTATTCAATCTGTAAAAATTGTTTACGAATAACTTGATATTTATAGATATATTTATAGTGGTAGTTTCAATTTCAACGAATTTAGTCCGCAAATCATCCTCGAAATTTTGGAAGCTTCGGATGAATTTATACTTGAAAGCTTGATAGATACCATTCAAACCTACATGATCGAGAAGCAGTCCGAATGGTTACAACTCAATATTATTAATCCTCTCAACATAGTATGTAAACATGATCATATTACTAAACTACGGAATCATTTAACTGAACTTGTTTGTAAGAAACCTCATTTGTTATTCGCATCAATGGATTTTCCTTTATTAGAAGAATCCGCTTTGATTTATGTCTTAAAACAAGACGACCTAGAGTTGGAAGAGATGAAAATATTGGAGAATGTTATCAATTGGGGGGCCGCAAATAGCAATCCAAAATTAAGTCAGGATCGTACTAAATGGACCAATAATGATTTATTGGAACTTAAAAGGACGTTACATCATTGCATCCCTTTTATCAGATTTTTTCACATTCACTATAATGATGTTATGAGAACTCCATTTCAAGATATTCTATCAAAGAAAGTTAAAAATAATGTCAGAAATTACCATCTTAATCCTTACACAACGGAACGTCAAATTCAAATTTTACCACCTCGAATGTCGGACAAACTCGATTCTATTATTATGTATTTTAATGACATTAATAGGATTGCAAGCTGGATAGATTATAGGGAAAAACCATATGCATATCAAGAAAATCCATTCGAATTCAAACTCTTACTTCGTGGTTCTCGTGATGGGTACGGGATAGAACAATTCCACAACCTTTGTGATAACAAAGGCGCAACAATCGTGGTCATCAAAGTACAAGGGTCAGGAGAAGTCGTTGGAGGATATAATCCAATCAATTGGAGTGTGGGAAAAAGTAGTGAGCGTGGAAGAATTGCCTATCGAGATCAACGATGCTATACATCAAATAGCTTTCTTTTTTCTCTTACAAATCCGAATGATCCAACATTAAGTCGCGTTAATAGTCCAATGGAATCCATTTACTGGAATGGCAATAAAGGTCCGTATTTTGGAAGTGATTTATGCATGACGAACACTTCAATCTGGATAAGTACACAACGATCTTACGAACGTAAAATCATTCAAAAAGAGATTTTTTTTGCTGAGGATTATGAAGTTTTTCAAGTTTCGATCAAAAACTATCAGATTCGAAGGAAGCAAATGATCAATAATATAGATTATAAGGGAATTTATTCTTTTTCTTTTGTTTTATGTCTTTTTACCTTTTTATATTTTTCAACTTTTCTAACTATTAAGGTGTTCATCCTTACACTCTTTGGTCAACTGATTGTAAATTGGGCATTATCTTATTATCAATGTTATTACCAAGAACGTTTATTAGATAAAGTAGTTTATGTGGATATGACATTGAAAATTGTACCTATTTTACTCATATGTGCCATTATGCTTTCAGTGTTTACAACATCTATAATAGCAATTACAAAAGCGGTCTTGTACCTATTTGGAATTATTTCCTCTTTGTTTTTTTCAGTATTGTTCTTTATCCCCTTTTGTTTATTATTTTTGTTGCACATTTCATCAACCTATTAATGTAAATTTGATCATTTGATATCTTAGACTTTTTTTTTTTATTTATGAAATAAATGAATGAACAATATTGCGAGCTGTATATAAGCAAATTACAATTCTTGGGAATTAATAATAATAATATTTTTTTTTTTTTGTTTTTTTTTTAAAAAAACAAAAAATTCATATACTGTAAAAAAAAACCCATAATGATTAAATGCTATGCATACCATCACCTCAAAATCAATCACTGTAACCTTTACTAGATCCTTTCAATGAAAAAGTCGATCAATTAGCAAAGGCAAATGAACCAAATTTAATTTCAACACCGCAGCATTTGGGCATTACCCCTTTTATATTTTATTCACCATGACATCTTATAGACAGTCAATGCGCTTTAACTTTATTGATCTCGTTAGCATCTGATCGAAAAAGGCCCATATATGAAAAGCGTCGATATTTTTTATTTCTTATATTTGTCACGTGAGAATAACGAAATAATTTAAAATCAATATATGGGAGATTTGCTAGGAAAATGGGGCTCTGAGTATTTTTTATTAAAATTTTAATTTTTATTGCATAAATTGCAAAAATTTAATCGAAAAAATAAAAAAAAAATATCCAAAGAAAAAATAAAATTTGATCTCATTTAGACGAAAATTAATCACGTGCCGTATCGTACAATGAAATCAGCCAATCAGAAACGATTAATGATGTCAGACCAATCAGAAAAATGGGCGTAAAAAAATATCAAAAAATTTTTACAACAAATAATTCCAATATTTTTTTTTCAGTGGTGTTTAAAAAACCTTTGGTATATATATTATAAAGCACCTTCTAAAATGGACTTTACTCTTCAAATATCAATTTGAATCATTTATGAAAATGTTAAGAATAATTGAAAAGTTCTGAAAAGTGATTTTCTTTAAAAAAATCATTTTCAAAATGACTTCCTTCAAGAAAATATCTCAAAAATGATTCTCTTGAAAAGAAAAAGTCTGAATAATTCTTTTAAAGAGAAAATATTTCTGGAATGTTTCTTATAAAGAAAATTATTCTAGAGTGATTTCCTTTAAGAAATAAATTTCTGAAGCAATTTTTTTTAAGAGTTTTATTTCTGAAGAGATTTCTATCAAAAAATTTGCTTTTATAATGATTTCTTTTAAGAATTTCTTTTTTTTTATTTTATAAATTGTGTTAGCTTCGCATAATCTTTATTAAGTGTAAATATAAAATTATAAAATACAAAACAAGAAAAGAAAATACAAAAACTTCTAAATATTCTAAACTAGTTAAAATAAATTAAAGTTAATCCTGCACCACCCTAAACTAATAATCCAATCAGAAGAAAAGGAAACTTAACCATCCAGAAAATAAAGCTTAATTACTACCTGTCTAAAAATTTTACCAATTAGTATTATACCTAAAGAAAGAGATAAAAGAAGAAGGAATATTTGAAAAATCATGAGAAGAGTATAAAAAAACTACTAGGATTCCAATTGCTCTTTTCATTTTATGAAGTGATATTAGCTAATTTCTCTGCTTGAATAAATGATTCACATTTTTCTTTTCAAATTTTAGAGGCAGAAACGAATATGTGATGGAAAATATGAGATAATAGTGAAGTGATTATAAAAGTGTTATTGGTAAGAGCTTGAGTCAAGTTGATCATTTCAGTTAGAACAATGCCTTTTATAAGGTCAATAAAACAAAAATTAGTTGTGTTAGGATTGATGTTACAAAAGAAGGCTGTCATAATTTGTAAATAGTTGTTTGTATGTTATCTTAACTATTATTAAAAAGTTGCAATTATTGAGAAAGCTTCAGTTTTGTAGAATCAATAGTGTTGATTAAGGTGAGAGACAAATTTGTACAAGTCCAAATGTGATTAAAGTCTTCAGATGTGCTTTGATATCTATAACAAGTCCAATTTTGTTGATTTAAATTTGGATGTTTTTTCTTTAAAACCTCTAGATATGGAAGTATTTCTAATATAAATTTGATTTTTTGTTTTTCATATAAGATGCTTAGAAGGATATGAAGGATTTTACTTCATTATCATGTAATAATTAAAAAATAACATTCCAATTGATTTTTAAAGGGTGATATTTAAGAAAATATAGAAGGTTGATTATATTATTAAAACATTTTGATTGTAAGAGATCTTTGATGACTTGTTTTAGAGGTAATAATATCGGCATATCTTGTAAGTTTGACATTATTTTAGAATTAAAAGTATTAAAATTAAAATTTATTTTAGATCTATCAGTTTTTGCCAATTGATCAACTATATTATTAAAGGGGTCATCACTATGTGCTTTTACTTTGTTCATTTTTAGAGTGATTAGTTTAGTATTAATTAAATCAAATAGATAGAGTCAGATAGGATAATAGAATACTTTGAAAATGGTAGAAGAAGAGGACAAAAAAAATTGTGTTTTATTGAAGATAGCAATAATAGAGAGGAGTCAGTAAATACAATAATATATGAATTTAAAGAAACTACAATAAGAGTAGTAGTAACATCCATTAATTTAGGTAAAATGAATAATAGATTGTAAAGATAAAAGGAAGAATAGAAAGAAATTGATGATCATTAGGGATTAGTTTGCAACCAAACTAAGCCTATCTAGACAGCTGAGAGACCAAGATTTCTGAGGGAGTCATCTGTATAAAAAGATAAAAAAGTTGTATTGATGAAGTTAGAGGCTAGATTAGTTAGTTGATTTATAGTATTGTTATCAAACATAAAGTTAGTATTAAGAATGTCTATATAAGGTAGAAGTAAAAAATAGTTATTAGATAGATTTAATAAATTTAAAGTTAATTCATATAACATTAAAGGAGATAGATAACATAAACGTCTGATATTATTTTTAGCTTTTAAAGTGATTTCTGAATATAAAAGTAAAGAATTTTAAAATAATATAAGGATCGTCTTCAAGGCATCTTTTTGTATAAACTTATTGTTTGATCATTAAGAAAACATCTAAAATAAGGATCAAGAATAGTTCTACATTGCTCATCTACTATCGTTATAAAGTGTTGAATATGTGCTGTTTCTTGGTTGATAATAAGGATTCTTCCAATGATTGAATTATTTAATTGTGATAACCAGATTATAGTGTAAGTAGATCATTTGTTATTGATTGTGAATATATATTGAGTGATGTAAAAGGGGTGATCAATTTGTAGAGTAGCATGAATAATGCATGTCTATTGATTAACAAGTACAACAGATTCTATTAAAGATGAGCATCATAATTAATAAGTTGCAACTTGATTGCAACTTCTTGTAAATTTATTTTAATATAAAAATTCATAAATAGTTGCAACTCAAAGAGTTGTAATTTAAGTTGCAACTAGTTAAAATTTTTAAAAATAATTATGAAATCATCTTTAGATTCTATGGTATCATATTACTTTGGTCTTTTCTTTAAATTACAGTAAGACCTCTCTAAATGCATCCTCCCTAAATGCACGCATATATATTTTTTCTATAAATGCACATTCCACACAACCCTAAGTATATAAAGATTATATAAAATTTCTCTCTTTAAATGCACATTTTTTCAAAATTTCACTATGATCCCAAGGGGAATGCATTTAGAGAGGTCTTACTGTAGAAAGTTTTAAGTTGAGAAATATCACGAAAGAGTAGTAAGTATTTTCTGTTTGATATGATAAGTTAAGATAAGAATATTAAGTTGATTTTTCTAACATGTCTCGAGACTTTATTATTAATATTTAGGTTGATCAGATTCATAATAGATTGTAAGCCTTTTTTCATAATATTAGAGTCAGAACTTTAAGTACTAAAAGAAAGATTCAGAGGTTTCATAATCAATAATATTGAAGACCATCAGTCTTTAAATAGAGTAGATGTAAAAAATGGTCAACTGTAGAATAAGGAGAACAGAAGCTATTCATAAGTTTAAACGTGAGAAACATGGATTTTTGCTATTCTCTCAAGTAATTCTGGATCTTTAATAATTTTTTATATGTTAGAAATTTTGGATTGCAGTTGTTGATTGTACAAATAAATTAGACTGTAAATTTTTGAGAAATGTAATATGGCTTGAGGGGTACTAATTGATAAGTGTAATGCTGATTTAAAGACCTTTTGAA